TGCCTCGGTGGCTCAGTCAGTTAAGCGTCTGCCTTCGGCTCAGGTCATGAGAGCCCAACACGGGCTCCGTACTCGGCTCCATGTTCAGCGGAGAGCCTGCTTCTCCCTCTCCCTCTCCCTCTGTTTCTCCTCAGTGTTCGCATGCACGCTCTAAATAAATAAATAAATAAATAAATAAATAAATAAATAAATAAATAAAATATTTTTTAAAAAAAAACAAACTTTTCTTGATTAATTACACAGAAGCTGTTACTTTCCTCCTATTTCACTTTCGTAAAAACTAATGAATCTGTTCGAACTGGTTACTGTTGACTATGCCTTGGTTACTGTGCTGAGCATAATCTGCCTGTGTCCTTTAAACCTTACAAGAACCCTGCAAAATACTGCTTGCTCTACATTACTGTTCCTCGTTCAGAAATGTTGGGAACTAGCTCAGAGAGGGTGTTATTTGCCTGTAGAACACAGAGCTAGTAAGAATAGGATCTTGAGTTTGACTCCACATGGCCATGCCGCAGTCTCCTAACCTTTGATGATGTTTTTGAACATCAGTATTTTTGATGCTGAAATTTTCAGGAAAGTTATTGATGTAAATAAGCTAAAAATATAGAAATGAACAAATAGAAATACTGTTTAGTCATTTACCTGTAAGGAAATATTTCATTCAGAAAGAGATTTTTTGTAACCCTGACTAACAGGCGTTCCTCATGTTATTGCACTTCACTTTAATATGCCTTGCAGATGCTGCATTTTTTACAGATGGAAGGTTTGTGGCAACTCTGTGTTGTGCAAGTCTATTGGTGCCATTTTTCTAACATTTGCTCACTTCAGGTCTCTGTTTTACATTTTGGTAATTTTCGCAATAATTCATACTTTTTCATTATATTTACTATGATGATCTGTGATCATTGATCTTTGATGTTATTATTCTGATTGTTTTGGGATACGACAAACTGCCCATATAGGATGGTGCACTTAAATGATAAATGTGTGTGTTGTGACTGCTCCACTGAGCAGCGGTTCCCCTTCATCCCTCTCCTCAGGGCTCCTTAATTCCTGAGACACAGCAGTACTGAAATTAGGCCAATTAGTAACCCCACAATGATCTCTGAGTGTTCAAGTGAAAGGAAGAGTCGCACATCTCGCTCTACATAATAAGCTAGAAATGATTAAGCTTGGTGAGGAAAGCATGTCAAAAGCCTAAATAGGCTGAAAGCTAGGCCTCTTATGCCAGTTGGCCACGTTGTGTATGCAAAGGAAAAATTCTTGAAGGAAATTAAAAGTGCTACTCCAGGGGTGCCTGGCTGGCTCCTTTGGAAAAGCATGCAACTCTTGATCTCAGGGTTGTGAGTTTGAGCCCCATGTTGGGTGTAGAGATTACTTAAAAAGAAATAAAACTTAAAAAAAAAAATGATACTCCAGTGAACACACGAATGATGAGAAAGCAAAACCTTTTGATGATGATGTGGTGAAAGTTTTATTGGTTTTAGTGGTTGTTCAGACTAGTGTCTGAACACTGGACTTTGAAAATGAAGTTAAGGTTACTAATCAGCTGACGTCAAAATAGGGAGATTACCTGCAGTTGTTTCATGTACGGGGGCGGGGGGGGTGGTGCGTGCTAGGTGTTGCCCAGTACAACCACATGAGCCCTTTAAAGGAGAAGGAGGTGCAGGGGTCCAGATGCAAGCAGTGGCAGGAGTGGCCTCCAGGAGTGAGCAAACACTTGGAGCCCTTAGTCCCACACCCGCCAAACAAGCTGAAGGAACTTGAGGGGCATTGTTCCCCAGAGCCTCCAGCAGGGAGTGCAGCCCCTACCAGCACCCCAGTCCAGCCTGGTGGACCTCACGGACTTCAGAACGTACAGAACTGCGCGACAATAAATGGGTGTGGTTTCAAGGTAGTAAGTTTGTGATAATTTGTTAGGGCACAAATGACTCATACAAAGAACAAAATTCACTCTCCTGTCATACCACACAATTTTCTTTTGTTTATTCCCTTCTGGGTTTTGTTGATAAGCATCCTTTCCTTAATTATAAACATAGTCACATAAATGTTTGTGTCCTACTTTTGATCATTTCTCCGTATTGCTACATAGTTTTCCCTAAGTATTTTAGCAGCAGTTTAGTGTTCCTTTGAGGAGATATAGTGTTGCATTAACCTGTTGGACTTCTGTTTGCTTCCGGATTTTACCGGTGTAATACTACATTGTGTGTTTCTGTGCATGTGACGTTTCTTATATTGGAAGTTACTGGAGTAAATTCTCAGATGTATCATTATCCAGTCAGAGTCTGAGCCTTTTTATTATTCTTACTGTATATTGACAGGTCTTTAGTGGCTTACCCATTTTTTAGCAAAATCTTTAGCAAAGATGGGAGAACTGTGTTCCTTAGTATCTTCACCATTAGACAATACCCTTTTTCCTGTAAATTTTTTGTTAAAGGGGGAAGGTGGTTAGTGGAAAGTTTTACATTTAGTGGGTAAAGTTCCCTAAATTGTTCAAGAAATTAATGTTTAAGTTACTATTCTAAGTGTTATTGGAGATAAAAAGCTAAATAGAGTACCTGATTTGAAGAAATAGAAGAGTGAAAACTAATTAGTATGAATTAGTCATGTTCCAGTCGTAAGAGATATGAAACTAGTTTCTCACCTCAAAACCTATTTATAGGGGCGCCTGCGTGGCTCAGTCGTTAAGCGTCTGCCTTCATCTTGGGTCATGATCCCAGGGTCCTGGGATCAAGCCCCGCATCGGGCTCCCTGTTTGGCTGGAAGCCTGCTTCTCCCTCTCCCACTCCCCCTGCTTGTGTTCCCTCTCTCGCTGTCTCTCTCTCTGTCAAATAAATAAAATCTTTAAAAAAAAGAAACCAACCTATTTATACATCTACTTGATTTTTTTTTTAAGATTTATTTATTTTTAGAGAGAGTGAGAAAGCACAGGGAGAGGGGCAGAGGGAGACGGTGAGAGAAACACAAGCAGACTCTGTGCTGAGCGTGGAGCCAGAGGTGGGGCTTGATCTCATGACCCTGAGATCACACTTCAGCTGAGACCAAGAGTCAAGCAATCAACTGACTGCACCACCAAGGCACTCCAAATCTACTTGACTTTTTATTAAAATGCATGTACATTCTGTGGATACTTCACTTCTGTCCTCTACATCTGTCATGCTGATTTTCTAATAGCTATCAAAACCATAATTACTTTCTTATTGTGGGTGTAACTAATTTTTCATTTATAGTTTTTTTTTCCAGCTTCATAGAGGTATTATTGACATATTTATGAGTGTAAGGTGTACAACATGATGATTTGATACATGAATATATTGCAAAATGATTACCACAATCCCCTCACATAATTTCCTTTTGTGTGTGTGTGTGTATGGTGACAACATTTAATTAAGATTTCTCCTTATAACTTTTTTTTTTAAGATTTTATTTATTTGACAGAAAACGAGAACACAAGCAGGGGGAGCAAGAGAGGGAGAAGCAAACTCCCTGCTGAGCAGGGAGCCTGATGTAGGGCTCGATCCCAGGACCCCAGGATCATGACCTGAGCCGAAGGCAGACGTCCAACAACTGAGCCACCCAGGCGCCCCACTCTCCTTATAACTTTCAAGGATATAATACAGTCCTATGAATTATAGCGATCATGCTGTACATTAGATCCCCAGAATTTACTCATCTTACAGGTAGACGTTTGTACTTTTGACCAACATCTCCCTGTTTCTCTCAGCCCCTGACAGCCACTATTCTACTCTGCTTCTGTGAGTTCAGCCTTTTTAAGTTCCACATATAAGTGAAGACATAAAGTATTATAGTATTTGTTTCTCTCTCTGACCTACTTCATGTGGCATAATGCCCTCAAGTTCCATGTATTATGTCACATAAGGCAGAATTTCCTCTTTTATGGATGAATAACATTCTGGTGTTGTGTGTGTTTGTGTGTGACGAACAGAGAGAGAAAGAGAGAAATTTTCTTTATCCACTCTTCTGTCATTGGACGCTTAGGTTGTTTCCATGTCTTGGCTATTATAAATTATGTTGCATGGTCACAGGGTTGCAGACATAGCTTCGAGATAGTGATCCTGTTTCCTTTGGATATAGACCTGGTAGTGGATTGCTGGATCATATGGTAGTTCTAGTTAAAATTTTTTGAAGAACCTCCATACTGTTTTCCATAATGGCTGGACCAATTTATGTTCCCACCACCAGTGCACAGGGCTCCCTTTTCATGGATGTGACTAAAGTTTCTGGCTTATTAAGTTCCCAGTACTTCAAAGCAAAGTACGTTATTAGACTCAGAATGAAGATTTGTCCAATACTAAAATACTAAATACGTATATTTTTTGCAACTAGAACAGCTTATACCTTTAGTTTGCTCACGTATAAAGAAGCAATGAGTTAAAATAAAAAGACACTGGATGGGAAATGAGAATTCCAGATTCTGATGTGTTACCTTGAACATGTCACTTAACCTCTGGGCTTCTGCTTTCTCTCCTTTAGCATGGGGTTAAATATGTTGATCACATGAAAAATGATCATATGGAAAAGATATGGAAGCATTTTGTATGCACTGGGGTAGGCTATAAACTGAAAGTACATGGTAGGAAATCATGATTTTGTTTCTGACTGGTTTGAAAATGAGAAGGGCATCTGGCTGGCTCAGTCGGAAGAATGTGCAACTGTTGGTCTCAGGGTTGTAAGTTCGAGCCCCACGTTGGGTGTGGAGATTGTTTTAAAATAAATAAACTTAAAATTCTTTTTGAAAATTAAATGAGGAAATTCCCACAAAAAGAGAACAGCCCTGGCTCATGGTGAGCATTAACCAATGAAAATGGACACAGTAACAAAGCTTTGGTACTAAACCGTTAGCTAGAATGAAAATGGACACAGTGACAAAGCTTTCATACTAAAATGCTCAGTTTCTGAAAGAATGTTTAATTGAACTGCTGTAGAGTCCGAACAAAAATAAAGTATACTCTAAATAAGTACATGTATTTATTTTCTAGGATCAAATCTAAACCGCTGTGGTTTCCGAGGCTCTTCATACCTGGGTATTCCATTCAATCCATCAAAGGTGAGTTACTGTCTGGGTAGGAGGAAGAAGGGAGGTGGCTGATAAAATTAGTGAGAAAGAAAACTAAGAAATTACCCAGACAGAACCAAGCGTCCATGTTTTGATATAGCTAGATACTGTCTACTAATATACATTATACGTGCAGCTCCTGAAAGGAGTGTGGTCCGCACCTCACTTCCTGGCAGAATGCACAGCCCATATGCCCACACAGATCCCTGCTGTCCCAAGTATCGTGACTCTCCTCCTGTCGTTTGTATAAAAATTATTGGTGATTTCCTGGAGAATTGGAAATCACTCGTGCTTGGTGCTTGCTCTCTAGGAAGCCAGAGAACTTCTATGTTAGTGAAAGGCTACATTCGGCTCACATTTCTTAGGAATAAAAGAAAAAGCTCTTGCCAAGGCAGTGATTGAAGACCTGAGCAGTGATGAGTTTGAGGACATTTGTGGCAACAAGCAGGCTCTCTTCAGGGTTACGGCCAGAGGCTTTGGTACCAGCACACACTGTGTAGAAAGCAGGGACTCCTCACAAAGGGAGGAGCTTCTGTCTTCTTCAAAGCAGCAGACCCAGAGCCAGCTCTGAAGGTGTTTGCACCTCGGCACAAAATCACTATTTTTCTATAGTAGAAGCAGAGAAAAACTTCCTCATTTTTTTCAAAAGAGGGCCACGCAGCATAGAAACTTTTCCTCTAATGGGGTCACTCTGCTTATATATTGGTTATAAGCTAGTGTCTAGCAACACTGAGTATGTCAAGATTTCTATCCACTTGCAATCTGAATGTAAATGTCATATTGCCCATTTTTTCATGCTCTGCTTCAACATTTTGGAATAAATAGCAGTGATTTGGGAGAAGGCAACATGATTTCATAGAGGCACTGCTTCAGCTTTCTTCCTCTGTCTTGGGCTGTAGATCTGCCTGCCTCTGTCAAGGTCCTGTGAATTTGCCAAGATGTCTCCAATCATGTGTGCCCATTGCTTTTAACAGGGAGTCTGCAAACAAAGGATTCGTAAACTATGTTTCCTTTTTCCTATGCATACAATCTTTTGCAGCTGATGCTGGTCCTGAAGAAGATAGCTCTCCCTTTACTCCTCGGGGACAGGCTATCTGGGTGCCCTGACGAGTGGTCATGATGACCATTCCCTAGTGCTGTCCCTTGTGTGTACCCACCCTGGTTGAAATAAAATCAGGGCTTTGATACTTTTTTTTTTTTTAAAGATTTTATTTATTTATTTATTTGAGAGAGAGAATGAGAGAGAGAGAGCATGAGTGGGGGGAGGGTCAGAGGGAGAAGCAGACTCCCTGCTGAGCAGGGAGCCCGATGCGGGATTCGATCCTGGGACTCCAGGATCATGACCTGAGCCGAAGGCAGTCGCTTAACCCAACTGAGCCACCCAGGCGCCCAGGGCTTTGATACTTTTGACAATGCCCTTTCTCTTATCTTCCCCCACCCCCAAGACATTTTTAAACAGGAATAAAATTGAAGAAGAAACCATTTTTGCCTTGGTTGGCAGAGTCTCCTGACACCCATTTTTGGCGTCATTCACCTAGACGCCTGGCATCTTCTGGGGAGGCCAGGTCCCACTCTATGCCACATTGTGTTCATCTGAATTTGAGTGGTGGAAGGAGCAAGAGATGCCAGGGGGACTCATATCGGCCTCCCAGGGGTTGTCACTGAGAGTGGTTGGCTGAGAGTCCACAAGAATCTGAGGAGGCGCACAGGATTGTCCAATAAAGTATATAAATACAGTAGTGTCATCAGTTTTTCTTCCAAAACCACCAAACCACCTGCAGGCCATTGCCTTACCTGATACATGCCCAGGACCTTCCATGGCCATAGAGTATTTTTTGAGAAACACTGATGGATCCTCTCAACCCACTTTTCTCACTGTTTTCCTTCACAAATGCTGTATTCTCTGTTAAATTATGTGTTGTCTCTAATACATGCTAGATACCCAGAATTTTCTTTATCCAATTTGCTTTTACTTTCTTTTCTACCTATAAAGCCTTCTCTCCTTTCCACCCACCAAGCTCCTCTTCTGCTGCAGAAAAAAATCCCTTATTTAAGTCTTTGTGTTACTGGGGCGCCTGGCTGGCCCAGTCAGTAGAGCATGCAAATCTTGATCTCAGGGTGGTGAGTTCAAGCCCCACATTGGGCATGGAGCCTACTTAAAAAAAAATAGAGTGAAACAGTCTTCAGATTTGACCAACAGAAGATAAGATGACAATTTAAAAAAATAAATCTTGGGGTGCCTGGGTGACTCAGTCAGTTAAGCGTCTGCTTCGGCTCAGGTCATGATCCCAGGGTCCTGGAATCAAGCCCCGCTTTGGGCTCTCTGCTCAGCGGGGAGTCTGCTTCTCCCTTTCCCTCTGCCTGCCACACCCCCTGCTTGTGCACTCTCTCTGTCAAATAAATAAAATCTTTTAAAAAAACAAAAAAAAGTAAATCTTTGTGTTACTGTATCTCCCTCATGACGCTTATTACATTCTACTTTGTATTGTAATTACTTGACCAGACCCTTTCTTCTGCCCTTAAGGTTAAGCCCCACATTTGATTTCTGTTTGGATTCCCCACGGTGCTTTCCCCGCCCCCCCACGGTGCTTTTAACATAGTAGATGTTTAGTTTAAGTACCAAAAACTGAAATATGCTCTAGGAGTTTTAGGCAGGCTATTATAAATATGGAATAGAATAGCCAGGAGTACCAGAGTTTGAGCTCTAGGGAGGAAGTCAGAATGAAAGGGTTAGCAAGATGAAAATGTGTTTGGCATGTTTGTGAGACCACATAAAGAATTGCATATATAAGGCCAGATGGGTGGGGTGGGTTCCGATTATAGAAGGTATTGAACACCTTGCAGACTTGTTCTGTGAGGAACCACAGAAGGTGGGTGAGCAGGAAAATAATGTGATTCACTCCCTGGTGGGTCCAGGAACCTAGTTCAAGACTCCCAGGAAGTAGTGGCCCTTTGGATATTTGCCTTGTACTTGCATCATCATCAGGATAACTAGCATCTTTGTCACGGTAATTTTATTTAATCCTCACAATAACCCCTTGAGGGAGGTATTAATATCCATTTTCCAGAAGGAGGAAGTGAAGCAAGCCAATGAGTAGTAGAGGCAGGATTTGATGCATTTCAGTGATTGTAGAAGTTAACATTTATTATAGTGGGTAGAGGAGTCTGCTTAAACCAAAACCTTGGTACAAGTTTCACTTTGACCTTCTAGTATGATGAGTATTATTCTAGGATTTGAAGCAATTACTGATGAATCCAAACTAAAATAGAAGGGAAACCTACGACAGATGAATTTTAAAATATGCTTGTATTCTGTCAAAATTAAAACGTCCTTCATTGTGTGTCAACTGTTCTTCAATTAAAAAAAAAACCTTAATAACTTTTTTTTTTTTAATTTTAAAGATGTATTTATTTGAGAATGCCTGGGTGGCTCAGTCCATTAAGTATCTGCCTTTGGCTTAGGTTGTGATCACCAGGGTCCTGGGATCGAGTCCTGCATTGGGCTCCCTGCTCAGCGGGAAGCCTGCTTCTCCCTCTGCCTCTGCTGCTCCCCCTGCTTGTACTCTCTCTCTGTCTCTCTCTCTCATAAATAAAATCTTTAAAAAAAGATTATTTGGGGGCAGAGGAGCAGAGGAAGAGAGAGAATCCTGAAGCACACTACCACTGAGCAGGGAGCCAGACTGGGGCTCAATCCCAGGACCCTGGGATCATGTCCTGATCCGAAATCATGAGTTGGCCATTTAACCAACTGAGCCATCCTGGTGCCCCAAAACTTAAAACATTCTTAAACTGACAAATTTGTACAATGTGAAATTTTACATTTTTCAAGTGAAATCTTTTTTAAAAAATAATTGATTCAGGGCGCCTGGGTGGCTCAGATGGTTAAGCGTCTGCCTTCGGCTCAGGTCATGATCCCAGGGTCCTGGGATCGAGTCCCGCATCAGGCTCCTCTGCCCCTCTCTCTCTCTCTCTCTGTCTCTCGTGAATAAATAAATAAAAAGTTAAAAAAAAAAAAGTAATTGATTCAGGGCATCTGGGTGGCTCATTTAGTTGAGCGACTGCCTTCGGCTCGGGTCATGATCCTGGGGTCCTGGGATCGAGTCCCACATAGGGCTTCCCTTGCTTTGCAGGGAACCTGCTTCTCTCTCTGCCTCTGCCTGCCACTCCCCCTGCTTGTGCTCTCTCTCTGTCAAATAAGGAAATAAAATCTTTAAAAAAAAATTGATTCATAGGATTGGCTGATTATTTGAAATTAATTATAAAACTCTAAATGCTTTGTATATTGTGGAACGTCAAGTTACTTGGCATAGTAAACACTTTTTATATCTAATTTTATCATTGCTGGTGTCAGCACCTAGATTCTTTAGGTCCCTTTAGATTCTTTCCTACTTTGTCACGTATTTTGTAACATAAGAGATCTTTGATAACTGTAGTTAATCCAACACACAATGTGTTGATGGTTATTCTAAGTGCTAATGTTTCTTAGAAGCTCGAATAATTGTATATGAGAGCAGAATAAGGTTTTTCAACTGTATAATATTTTTATACAGTGATTACTGTGGTATTGAATTTGTTCAGTAAAAGAATTTTTATTTCTTTTATAAATCTTTTTTGATTGAAAGGGTGTATGCTTTTCTAACTTCATTGAGACTTAAGTTATAAATAATACGGTTGACTACATATGGAGTTCAAATAATTTGGTTTATTTGTGTATCAGAACTGCTTCCATAAAGCTTGAGGTTTGCGGGATAAATTTAAAAATTGTGTAGCCTGGAAAGCATGCAATTGTACTTACATTGAGACCTACAAAATGAAGGTTTGTTTTTTTCAATCAGGTATTGGTATAAGTCAGTGCAAACATTTAATTTTACTAGTTCCTGAAACCTAGTGTCAGATTACTTAATGAAATAAGTTTTCAGTTTACTAGTTAATTAACATTATGTTAATTTTGAATTTAGAATCCTGGAACAGCTCATCCTTACGATAGTGGCCACATAGCAATGACCTACACTGGCCTTTCATGCTTAGTTATTCTTGGTGATGACCTAAGCCGAGTCAATAAGGAAGCTTGCTTAGCAGGCTTGAGAGCCCTTCAGCTGGAAGATGGAAGGTACGGGTCACTCTGGTTTTTTCCCTTTTCTTTTTTTTCTTTTTTGGAAAAATTTTATAGAACTGAAAAATGGGTATAATACTATACTGGAACTTTAGAGTTTATCATAAACCCTTTTAGAATCCTTTAGTGTTCACTCTATGTACAAACCCTAATCAAAAAATAATCCAAGATTTCTTATTTCAGTAAAAAGAAATCTTAATAGCAGAGCTCCTTGTTTTTTTCTCTTGTTTAAACTGAGACAGTGAATACATTCATAAGTAAGTGGTTGAATGGTTTTAGTATTAGGATGGACTTTAATTTACCTTCTGGGTGACAAAAAAAGGATATTTTGAAGTAAGCATACACTACTCTGAACTTCTGTTCCTTAAGACATAGTGACTGGGGAGAAAGGAATGAACATTGACTATTACATTCTAGTGAAGGTAGATTCAGTGACCTTTGTAAAGGATAGAAAACTTAGTTCAGTAATATTTGGTGGTTTGTATGGTATGTTTAAGGAATCTTCCTAGAGTTTTAAGGTGAAACCTCCCCCCCCCCACAAATCTAGGAAATGCAAACTGATACCATCTAGAGAAAAGAGTTTGCAAACCAGTTCTGCTGTATTGTTATGTCAGTGCTTCATCAGCTGATATCTCTGTTTTCCTTTCAGTGTTTAAAAAACACTGCTCTTAATGAGGGGGAAATTAATTTAGACTTGTAAGATAAATTATCATTAATTGGAAATACTGTAGAACTTAATCTTTACCTCAGCCAGTGTATGTGACTAATATCTCAAAGTTTCCATATAGGCTTTGATTACTGCCACCTTTTCCTTGTTTACAAATAAAGGAATAGATATCAGAGTCAGACTGTTACCTCTCTAAAACTTAATGAAATAGGTAAAAAAAAAAATTACCACACAATATTGTGTTAGTTAGTGGTTGTCTACATATACATTTAGGAGAAATTTCTCATGTCAAAACTTGGGTTTGGAAATTTCTTACTGCCCAGTGGGTCCCCAGTGCTTTTCCCCCCATTAATTCTCAAGCTAGTGTGCCATGACTGTCCTGGATAGGGAGCAAAGAAACTTCAAGTGGTGCCACCTGGGAAGGAGTAACTGGTAGTGTATAAAGCTACCCAGAAATCAGAACTTTGAAATGGAGTGGTGATTTAGAGATCATTTTATATTTTTCAAGTTAATAGTCTTGTTCTTTATTGACTAATACAAGTAGTATATGGTTTTTAAATCCATATTTAATCATAGGTTTTTCTGTGAGTAAAGACATGAAGTAGGTGTTTCTCACCCCTCCCCCCCGCAAAAAAATAAAAACTATATTATAGTGCGATGGAATCGTAAATCATACTGTTATTCCTTTCAGCTTCTGTGCAGTCCCTGAAGGCAGTGAGAATGATATGCGATTTGTATACTGTGCCTCCTGTATTTGCTATATGCTCAACAACTGGTCTGGCATGGATATGAAAAAAGCCATCAGTTACATTAGAAGAAGTATGGTGAGTGATGTTGATAAATGACCATTTTAGGTTATTATTGTTGCTATATGGGGACTGCACTGTAATGCACGTCTCATCTCTCCTCCGCCAAGCATCTGGAAATAAGGGCAGTAAGGTTGCTTTTGGTACGTTGTGTAATCAGAATGGCCATATAGAAATAATTGCGAAGGACAGATTGATTCATTGGCCATTAAAATTCAAACGTCATTTGATTGTATCTAAGGAAACAAATGTCTTTACTAGAAAGAGAGTGGTCAGCCTTAGAAGGAAAAGAAAAAAATCTCACAGGCACATGTTTGATAGCATTAGCTAAGCAGGGGTCAGTGCAGAGCCCTGGCCAAGCGTAATGGAAAATTATGGTTTCCTAGGTGAGACTAGTTCTATTATTTGATGTGAGGTGGGAGTTCCGTAAGTCGTTTGACCAGCAAGAACCACATACAGGAAGATTGACTGGGCTAACAATAGATTTTTGCATCTTTTTGTTAATACTTGTGTGTGCCCCCCCCTTTTTTTAATCTAAGGTTTATTTTAAGGCAAGTATCAAATAGAAGTGCTATTCTTTCACAATACAACTTAATCTTTCCATTTGCAGTAGTAAGGAAAGCTTAGTCTCAGCCAGAATTACCCTTTGCTCTACTTTTTTGTCTTTTATATGAAACTGAGACGTAGAAATGTTGCTTCCCAGGTTTATTACTTCCCAAATCTGAAGTTTTCATTTCATAGACTAGACTCTTTTAGGATTAATTCAACTTTTACTCATCAGTATTTCAAAATGAAAATTAAGTTCTTAGAGGAGTGAATTTTTTTTTAACTGAATGTGTGATTATGGGTCAGATTTTGTAGAATCTGCAATAGCCCAAACTTCGGAGAGCCCGTGGAGCAGAAAGAACAGGCCCTTCAAGGAGCTTCAGAGGGAGAGTTATGTTCAATAGAAGGATGGGTGATGTGTGTTTTGGCTTACTGCTACAGCGGCAACGCTGTGTTCTTCTTCGTGTGTTGTATTTGGAAATACAGCGTATTGGTTTGCCCTGCTACCAGGGACGGTGACTTTGGAGCGCCGGTTAAGTTAGCATTTCTCTGCTTGTTATTATTCAGTGTCTTGTGGTGAGGGATTTGGAGACTGTTAAATAACCTGTTCCTTATCAAACTTTTATCCGCTGGTGGTGGTATGCAGTTGAGGATTTTCCAGCTCTGTCATTCCTTCTGTGATTTTCAGTTGAAATTCTGCTTTTAGAAAAAGCTTTCTCTTTACACGTGTCTGTATCACTTTGAACTCTAGATTCTTGTTTTATCCAGTGGGCTATTACCTGTTCCTGTCGTTACTTATTTTGATGGTCAGATTGTCCCAGATTCAGCCAGTGAGAGCCCCTCCAAGCGGACGCTTGTGCCTTTTTTTGTCTCAACCTCTTCATTCTTTGAGCAGCAGTTGGCTTTCTGGCACAAGATTTTCCAGGTTCATCTTGTACTTTCCTAGCCATAGCCCTGGAATCCGTCATTTTGGCAAGGAGCCCTGGTTCCTACTGAAGGATGGTGTGTAGAAACGAGAATTTGGGCCAATCGCTGTCCTCACTGACGTTGGGATATCATGGCTTCTAGTCCCTCTCTCAGCAGGCCGAGCTAGGAAATGTATGTGTGCGTGTGTCTATGCACAGAATCCCCCCCCCCACTTACACGCACCCACTCCCCTCTATTTCCTTATCTATGTGTGTAATAAAAACCATGAGTCCTACTGATACCTCAAATTTCAGTCCAGCACCACAGTTCTTTTTTATCTTCCTCCTTTCTTTTTGTAACTCCCTTCGCAGACAGTCACCAGCCTGCTTCCCATTATCCAGGATACATTGGCTCTTTTTGTTTTGAACGTCAGGGTATATAGTCAAAATACCATATTTAAGAAATACTTGAGGGGCTTCTGGCTGACTCAGTTGGTAGAGCATGCCCCTCTTGATCTTGTGGTTATGGGTTCAAGCCCCATATTAGGTATAGAGATTACTTAAAAATTAAATCTTTAAAAAAAAAAAATGCTCGGGTTACTTCTTTTATTCCCCCCCCTTTAGTATGGTTATGTTATTTATTTAAAATACAGCTAAGTTTGTTGGTGTTTGAGCTTCATTTTAGGGCTTTCCCCCAATGTTGTTAATTTTTAAAAATTTACTTAATATGTGAAATAGTGACTTGGTTCTGAAAGTCAGAACTGTATAAAAAGGGATATTCCAAGATGTGTTACTCCTTACGTCCTCGTCCCTTCTGTCTCACCCCCGTCCTCACTCCCGTATTTGCCGCCTTGTTCCGTTTACACTGTAGGGAACCAATCTCATTAGCATTTGCTTTGTCTTTCCTGTATTTGATGAGCAGATGCGTACATTTCTGTTTCTCCTTCCTTCTTCCAGACAAAGCAGGACACCACAGATACTTAGTTTCATAGTACTCTATTGTGTGCGCGTACCTAGTAGTTTTATGGAACACATATTTTCCAAGACAATGTTGAAATTAATAACCATCTGCATGTGCATTTATGTATTTCTGGAGATAGATCTTCAGAGTGAATTCCTAGTAGTGCACTTGCTTAATCAAAAGGTAAATGCATATGTAATTTTACTAGATGTTGCCCATTTTCCCTCCAAAAAGGGCAGACCAGTTTCTCTTCCCAGCAGTGTAGGAGAGTGCCTGTTTCCACACGACCTTGCCAAAGCAATGTGCCGTCATCCTCTTTAATTTTTATCAGTCTGGTGGGTGAAGAATGATCTTTCAATGTGTTTATTTTTAATTTGTATTTTATTATGAGTGAGCTTGACCACTTTCTTCACTCCAGGACGATAGAGCACCGGGCCACACACGAGCACCGGTAGCCTGCAGCCCAGTTTGCTGACCCGAGTTCGAGTCCAGTAGTGTGCTCTTCCTGTAGGACTCCAGTTTTGTGTGTGCTCTTTCTTCTTTGCTTATCTTTGATTTCAGTCACTTTTTCTCTGATCCTTTTTACTGCTGTGTCTTAGTTTTAGTCTCTTGGCTGTTTTCTGCCTTTAGTCAGTATCCCTTACTGTCTTTTGAGACTGTTATTCCTTGGTCTTATAATTCCTTATTTTCTTCCATTTCTTTCCTGAAGTCATTGAACTCTGTATATTTCTTCCTACTGTTTGTCCTTTTTGTTTTTAACTTTTAGTTTTCTTTTCATACTCCCAGGTGCTTGCTTGATAATCACAGTTGAGTTTGGGCTGCTGTATTACAGTTTTCTTCTGCTTTATGTCCATTTTGGGGAGGCAGGGGCAGATTTTCATACACCGAGATGTTTTCATTCCATTTGCTGTGTTTTCGGAGTTACTTTATATAGATTTGTCTCTTTGTTTAGTCATTTTGTCGACGTTCTTTCTTAAAAAAATTTCTATTTAAGAGTACACTTTTCAATCAACAAAATATGATTTCTTTAATGAGTTTTTGTGGGGTTTGATTTTGTTTGTTTTCATGTTGGGGAAAGTATGTGTTTCATGATTTCCTGGTAGGAGAGAGATTGTCTTGTTTCTCATGTCTCTAAATGTTGCTCCTTTGGTGTCCTTTACGACCTGATCTTCGGAGGGCCCGTCTCTCTTCCTTGTTAACTTGATTCATCAAAGTCGTGCCCTCTGAGCACTGCACCCTCTGAAGTCCCTTCCCAGCGGTCAGCGCTCTATTGTTCCAGAACTCACGTAGTCCCGGCAGCGCTCACCTGGCACGGTGGGGCCCGCCCGTGACAAGGGACGGTGACCATGCAGGCTGAGTGAGGCCCAGGGATCGGAGTCGTCAGGGGGAGATCACCACTGCTCTGGGGCCTGTGCGGCATTTTGCCGTCATATCACAAACTCTCTGGGAGTCATAAGTGTGCGTACAGAGAAGTTTTAAGCGGTAAAACCAGTATTTATTTAGTACATTGTAATACTAAAACATTAGAAATATTAAGAAATATTGAGAGTTAAAATGTTTTCTTTGTAAAAAAAAAAAAACTATATATATACACACACACACACGCACGAAGTAGTTTGGACAGTGTTTGCCTTGTTTCCTTATGTAACTTAGGACAGGGAGGGAGCATCTTTTCTGTCTCGGTAAATGATCAGACTCCGTCCTAAGTTCATAGCAGCTTCCAACACTTTCTCCTTTGTGTTTTCGTCGTTGTGAAACATCTCCAAGGATTCCTTTCCCGTGAAGTGTTTTGGCAGCATCTTCACCCTTTGTGTCACGGCCGCGGTCCTCACTCATGCAGGCCCCTGCCTTCACTTAGTTCTTCCGACGGCAGCACCAGCAGCCTTCCCGGGGCCAGCTGTTTTTTTCTGTAACTCTGTGTTTGAGCTCAGTTTCACTTCTCGCGGCGCTGCTTCTCGTTTCTTGGTTTGGTGGCCAGTCTGTTCTTTTGGTTCTGTCTTTTCAGAGACCGTCTTGTGGGTTTACTACTAAGACAAAGGAAGAGACAACACAACCATACGTTTTGCTCTCTGTGCATGAACTGAACAATATGTGCAGTGACCAGTTACTAACAGACTCTGAAAAAGGTGGTGGGACTAGTTACTGATTATGATGCACATCTGTCATTTATGTAGTGACTTGTGAACTGAGGTGCTAGCAGCAAGTTTGTACTCTGTGCAGTTGCTCATAGTTAATGTACCATGGTTGCGGAAATTGGAACCATATTGTGTCGTTTAGCTGAAGGATGGTACGTGGAATTTGTGCGTATTGGAACTGCACAAAGCAAGGACTACCTGTATTTCGCTTTTAGGGTGGACCTTCTCCCTCCAGCGGTAATTTTAAATCTGTCTCATGCCTACCATTGGTTCCCCCCACCTCCCCGATTTCCCACAACCTTCCCTTGCTCCCTGCAAAAGGATGACAGGAGTGGGAGAGGCAGCTTGCTGGGATTTGAGGTTTCTCTTTCTATAGACAGGTAATTTAAAGCTTGCACACGTCTTCCAGCTTTGCTAAGGTTTCGGTTTTATATAGTTGTATTGTTCTTCTGTTTTGATTTTGTAGGATATGTGGGGAGATCCACATTTAGGCAGGTGCTGTTACCCTCAGCTACCCACAGCCTCAAAATAGACTTGTTCCATGTTTATAATACTTTATTAGTACAGCATCTTTACATTTTCCTTAAACTTGTATAGTCTTGCAAGTAGGAAAGGAATAAGGGGTTGGGGCTTTTTATTGGGTAGAAATCAAATATGTAGATGCCATCTTTGAACAATCTGTCTCAGAATGTGCCTGCTCTATGCATTTAGTGATTTGACTTGATGAGTAAGCCAAGACCAGGTACTTGAAAATGCCTACAACTACTCCTTTGTGGGAAAGAGTGAGTATTTTGGAGATATGAGGGAGAAACCAAATTGGATCAAGAGACCAAAAATTAGCATAACGAGGACTTATTTATTATCATTTCCCTATTAAACTGAATAATGTTTTTCTTTTTCAGTCCTATGACAATGGGCTGGCACAGGGAGCTGGACTTGAATCTCATGGTAAGACATCTTAAAGTAAATGAACATGTAGTTTCTTTTGTTCCTTTAAATAACATAATGGCATCTGCGACATGGAGAACCCCAGATGTTTGCCTCAGCCCGTGGTTGTCTTTCCTACTTCTCTCTTTTGACACTTTATGCCACTTTGAATGTCTTCTAGGTCAGTAATAGGTCAGAGAATGTACAGACTAGGATATTCATACTTTTCTAGTATTTTCAGGTTACCTATTTGACTGTCAGCTGTATGATAATATCCTGGGGTGATTTCTTAAGATAGCGCCAGAAGACAGCAAGTTTTCTTTTTTGGCGTAACACTGAAAAGCTAGATGCAGAATATTAAGCATGAATCAATGAATTTGTGAAGAAATGAAAATGTCTTTCTCAATATAATAATCCTTAGTCATTGCCATAAAACATTTTGCTGCATAGCATATGTTCAGTGTATAAATTAATAGAATTTCTCCTTTCACCTTTCCCCACTTGGGCCAGAATCAGAATAGGGGATGATATACTTAGTCTGTCAGCACATCAGTAGCCTGAAGTTTTTCAAATTGAGTATTTCCATGTAAGAGTAAGTAAGCGCCATGCTCCTTTTTAATTTTTTTTAATTTCTTTCTTTCTTTCTTTTTTTTTTTTTAGATTTCATTTTTAAGTAACCTCTACAGCTGGCGTAGGGCTCGACTCACAATCAAGAGTTGCATGCTCTACTGACTGAGCCAGCCAGGCCCCCAGCAATGTTCTTTTTTTTTTTTTTTAAAAAAGAAAGGGCCTAGATCAAGGAGGCTCTCTGAGTGAACTCCTTACGTTTCCTCTTTATTACGGCAATCTCTTTGTGCTCGCCCTCTGGCAGCGTGACACAGTGGCAAAAACAGATCTCAGAAAGAACAGGTCTCAGCCCTGATACCTGCTTGGGACCTGGCCCCTCACTTAATCACTCTGAGAGTTTCCTCATTGACCGACAAGAAATAATTGGACCTTCCTTTAATTTTAAAAGTGTTGCTAGGATTATAAGAGGTAGGGGGAAGGTGGTTTGTAAACTATAAAACACGTATAAAAAGATATTTTTAACATCTACTCCTTGACCCCATCTCCTTGTACTTCCCCTGAGACCTTGTCCTGCTGGTCTTCTCCCTCTCACACATCTTCACTCCCTCCTTCAATGTAGATATTTGGAGAGTGCGTATCATGAAGGGCCATGTAGAAGACTGTCTGTGCTTCCTCTGCAGCCGTACTATAATCAGGACACCGGAATTCCTGTGTGTGCCTACATTTGGATGAGATTGGGCCTGGGGCAGGCTGCACTCGCAGTTCTGTCACTGGTCGTCACCACTTGGTGATGTACTCGTGGGTGCAAGGAGAGGAAATCTGGTGTCTGAGAATTTCCGAGAAGCCAGGGCCTCGTGCTCGGTGTTGGAGGGGGTGTTAACAGGCACTCTGGCTGAGGCGACATGTTACCAGTACGGGAGACCTGTGATACAGATGCCGTGGGTCCCAGGAAATTGTGATTGCGTTTGCCGGAACATGAAACAGAGGGCTGCTCAAACATGAGTCTCTCTGACGGCTCCTGTCAGGAAAGCATCTTGCTGAGTCACACTTAGTAGTGATTTTAAGTCTGTATGACTTGAGGAGGATTACACCCAATTAATTCATCAGTCATGGACTGTGGTTCATGCAAAAAGCTTAGATCTATCTTCCTTTTCTCTTTGAATTTGTTTGGTGGGCTTGAGACCCAAAGCTCTGGAGAAGGGTGTCCTACTAAGGGTGCCACAGTGGGCTGGTGTCCTGCCATTGGGCTCCAGGAATGCTCAGATACCGCTCCCTCCACCTTGGGGGCAGCCAAGCAAAGCTGTGGGTGTGGAGCCCCCGCTCAGGGCGCCACAGAGTGCTCACGCAGGTCAGGCATCCTGTTCTCCGGGTGCTGTGAGGTTAGGCTGAGGAGACTGCTCTGGAGGCCCTCGGCGTGGCCTTTCTTCCATGCCTTCTCTCCTCTCAGCGCTGCCAGGCAGGACCTCCTCCTCAGAAGTCAGCCTGCAGTTTGGCCGCCCCTGTGAGCCTTTGTCTTCTCCCTTCTTCTTCTTTCTCTGGTTAATCTTTTCAGAGAAGCAGTCCAAATATACTCTTGGCCCTTCTCCACAAGTGGCTTATTCTTCAACCTTCCTATATAAGCCTCAGCAGCTTCGGGAGTTTCTCTTGTAAAGTCACCAGTGATCGACATTTCAAACCCATTGTCACCTTCTCGCTCCTCGCCCTGTGTTTCCTGAAGCACTGGAAGCTGTTAGCCTCTCCCCTGCTTTCTGGAAGCGTCAGGTTCCTCTTGCCCCGCTTCCTCACGAGTTGTTTTGGCTCCTTCACCATGTTTGTGTCTTCCTCTCACCCCCTTACCTGGACCCACCTTTTTCTTGCCTTTGGGTGGTTACTCTTTCTGAATCTCAGGGCTCTTCCTGTACTTGCTGTTCTGTGTACGGAAAACCCTCCACCCTCACCTCTAGCTTACACTTGGCTCTGTTTCATATCCCTAGGTCTTGGCTCCAATGATTGCTTTTAATTATCATTTTTGAGATTGCAAATCACCCACACACACTCCATTCCCTATCCTCTTTTCTGCCCTTTGCTCTGTATTCTGTTTGATCATGTGTGTGTTATCTGTCTGTCCACACACGGGAACAGAGATCTTTACACCTTTCAGTCACCCTTGTATCCCCCACACCTAGCACATGCGGCGCGTGCTGAGATGAGCTAATGGATGGTTTTATTAGTCCCGTCTGTGCTGGTGGCACCAGAACTCTGTTCCAGATCTGTCTTACTGCTCCGGAGCTGCGGAGTACCCTTCCCACCTGCCTGCCAGGCCGATCTCCCTCTGGAGCCCTTCAGCGTCGCAAGCTGCATGTTTGTAAAGCCATCGTGTTTTTGTTCCTTCCTCCCACGCCTGAATTTGCTCCTCAGGAATGTGGAGCATCTACTTCCGGACCTACTGGTTTTTCAGTCCATAGAAGCCAGAAGTCTAGAATTCGGGGCGTTTGATCTCATGTTTGTTTTGTTGTTTTATTTGCACTTACACCAGTGTTCTCCTGTAGGTCGCCTGTTTATAATCCTTGATCTCCAGACTGAAAGGACTGGAATTTATGATCAAGCAGCTGCCCTGTGCCAGCTACCAGTTAGTCTCATTTAATCCTCACACCAGCCCTCTGGGAGTAGGTATCTGTGTGTGACTTGGATTCCCTCAGAGAGCGAGACCACCATGAGTAGTAAAGAACTGGGATTTATCATAGGAATAAGATTGTACACAACTGTGGAGGAATATGGAGAAGGAAGGGCCTGCAGGGCAAGTTGGTGGATCGGGGGGAAGTCACTGGCAAGGCGTCCTGCGGCCCTGGCCCAGGTGGACAGCGACACCTGGCAGGTCAGGTGCATCCAGCGACTGAAGCAGGGCTGTGGTAGAGGAGTCTGGCAGGGGCCGTTGCTCCAGCCTCTGACTGGGTCTTGGGTCACCAGGGCAAGAAGTAAAGCGGACTTGCATTCCAAGTGTGTGGGAGAATAAGGGCAAGGTGCAGTCTCCTGGCACCTCTGCCTTTGTCTCTCAGCTCCTCGAACTGCAGCTGGGATAGTGGGTGCTGCTTCTCTCCTTCCAGCGGATCCCACGCAGACTTCGCGGGCTGCAGACCATACAGGGAAGCACCTCTGGCCCAGGCGGGTGGACGCGGAACCAAACCAGTGCAGTAGCCATTGTCATTTTTCTCAGAGTTGTGACTTCCCCAGTAGGCTTATATATCGTCGGGCATGTAACGTAGCCCACTGGGAACCCTGTGCGTGCTCAGCAGTGCCCCTCATTTTAGTTCTCTGTGTCTGCTTCCATCCTTGCTTTGTAGGCGCTCCCGTGGGCCACCCCTTCCGTGCATCCCGGGCTGCAGAGAACGTGTGCTCCCCCCATGTTCTCAGGGGCCTTTTCCCCGAGGGGTGGGGCCGACATGCTTCCCTTGCCCAAAATGCTTCCCCTCCCACCTGCTTCTCCTCTTTACCCTTTTCCTACCCTTCCGAGTTTTGCCAGTCTTCCTGTGGCTGGTTTCGTTCTCTCTCAAACTCTTCATCTCTCGTCCCCTGGACCTAAGCAATGCCTCCCTTTTCTGTATTCCAGCCATACTGGGCTCATACCGTCTTCATGGCACCTCCCTGTTTGCCTTAGCGTCCCTGCTACATTGTGAGCCGGTAGGTCTCATGCGTGTCCAACTCCACTTGCCCTCATACCGTGCACTTGTCCAGCAAGTATTTGAATTGGCTGTCCTCTCTCCCCCTCGGCTTCCCGAAGTGCGGCAGGCTGAGTGTGGGCTGCGTCCTTCTGCTGCAGTTCAGTGGCTCTTCTCCCATGACTGCTTAGCTGAGAGCCCATTTGCCCTGCAAACCAGACAGGCACACAGTACCCTTCTAAGCCATGATCATCAGATGTGAGGATTCCTTTTTATCCTAGTGAGTCTCTTAAGCACTAGCACAGTTGTAGGGTAAAGTGTTCTTGTGTTTGGAAGAATTGGGTTTTCCTGCTCTGCTAGGATTAAAGCTATTTTTTCCTCTCAGGATTCATGATATAAAAGTAATAGTTCACATAAATTAATTTGATTCCATGGTTCTTCAAAAATCTCTCTACTCCTTAATCCAGAAGAGAAATTTTCAATTCTTTGGCCTAATTTCATGTAAGCATTCAGCTCCTTGAATTTTCCTCACTTTACCTTTTCCATGGGGTATTTTAAGTGTGAAATGGTGTACTTTTATTTTTATACCTATTTTTAGCTTTCTACTTCATCTCTAGCTATATGATTGTTAACCTTCTTAAATGATATATTCAGAGCACATGGACTCCTTCAGATAGTTGGGTACATGCAAATAAATACAAGAGAATGCTTAAAATTGGGCTTTAAAACCTTATGGGAGCAGTAAGTTAGCTTACACCTGTTAAACACTGTTAAAATGTAAGTCAGTCCTAGCATCCAGGACTAGAGGCAGGAACCTCTCCTTCACCCTGCCCCCAGGAGCACTGAGATCGGCTGCTAGAACCAACCTCGGTGGTCCCTTCCATCTGTGGTGCCCATGACTGTGGTATTCTGCACTACACCTAAATGATCCATATGACCAAAGCATCTCACTTCGGGTGACAAACTCAGCAGGTGTAGTCTTTCTCTTGTTTGCACGTGCCTTAAAATGTCTTACTCTAAGAGCCTTCAGTACAGAAGGTTCTTTTCATACCTTCTTCAACCAGGGCATAATGAACACAACATAACCTTTTCTGGTTGAATTCAGAAAATTATGAGAAGCAGTTTTGTATCGTTCTCTAATGATGTAGAGAGCATGAGCAAGTGGGGGAAGGAGCAGAGGGAGAGAGACGAGCAGACTGCCCGCGGAGCACAGAAGCCCAGGGCGGGGCTTGACTTCCCGACCCTGAGATCATGACCTGAGCCTGGTCAGCTGCTCAACCGACTGAGCCGCCTGCGTGCCCTTGAAATTATGTAATATTCTTGAAATGTTTTGAAGCGTGTAGGAATCATTGATGTAAACTTACTGAGCCCCTTTTGGTGCTAACTAGAATATGAGTTCCTGTGCCCGCTTTTGTCCATTTCTTAGCTGATCGCTTTCCTGAGACGTTGCCTGTCTTCTCTTGCTCGCTGTGTCCTCTGTGTCTGCGTCCCACTCTCTCCTAAGCTGATACTGTTAGCCCAGGTTTTTAGAATTAGTTTTTAAGAATTTTGTATAAAATAAGAACCTCTCAGGGGTAAATGTTGGTGAATGAATTTTAGCTTAAAGCGTAGACTTTGCAGTAAGTGTTTTTGGCTACTCAGAGCTCAAACTTACTTCAGAAGTTATCATTGTGCAAAGCTGGTGATTTGGGCAAAGTAGAGAGTACTTTGAATTGTGCCAGTTGGCTTTAAAGAATCCTAACAGGTAATTTGGAGAGTAACAATTAAATGCCTCTTTTTACCTTTTGGTAGGTTTTTTTTTTTTTTTTTAAGTTTGATTTATTTAAGTAATCTCTACACCCAATGTGGGGCTCGAACTCACGACCCTGAGATCAAGAGTTGCATGCTCTTCCGACTGAGCCAGCCAGGCACCCCTACTTTTTGGTAGTTAATGAGTACCATATTATCTGTTGGAGATTTTATATTTAATGATGTAATAATACCTGAAGTCATGGCCAGGTTGTCACGAAAGAGAAATTGAAATTGGTGGGTCACTGAAGAGGAAATAAGATTGGTAGTTGCTTAATAGGAATTATTCTAAAAGGTTATTATAAATTTATTTTCCTCTTTTTATTAACTCATGACTGACATAGATCTCCCAAATCACTGGGAAAAATTCTGAAGATTAAATAGTTCTTACTGACAGTGACCTTTTTAATGTGCTGCCTGCCTTGAGTTTTCTAGAGGGAATGCTCACTTTTCTTTTGCCAGAGAATGCATCCAAGACGTGTAACAGTAAAAGGGAAGTTGTAGGATGAAGCGTATTATAAATGCTCCATTTCCATAGCTGAAATTAATCAGTAGCAGAAAGTGTTGTTTCTTTTCCTCTCTGGAAAAATAAGGACTTTTCAGTTCCTGAGGAAAGGAATCACTTTTGCAAGTGTACTGGTTTCCTGTTGCCTCGGACTTAGAGGTATAAAAAAGTACAAGTCTATTCTCTTACAGTTCTGGAAGGCAGAAGTCTGAGCTGCACTTTACAGGGCTGCTTCCTTCTGGAGGCTCCAAGGAAGAGTCTGTTCCTTTGCCTCTGCCAGCTTCTGGTGGCTTCCGACATTCCCCACGTGTTGCCAAGTCACTCCAGTCTCTGCTTCATAGTTTCATCGCCGCCTCTTTCTGTCATCCCCTTCTGCCCCCTTCATAAGGACACTTGTGGTTGCATTTATCCAGGAAAATCTCTCCGTCTCAAAATCCATAGTCACATTTACGCAAAGTCCCTTCTGCCGTAGGAGGGAACGTTGCCGTGTTCCAGGGGTTAGGACCTGGACTTCTGAATTTTTGCGGGTCATTATTCAGTCTACCGCAGGGAATGGATTCTCCCTGCGTGTCTCCTTCCTCATAGGCCCTTCTCTCCCTGCCCCCAACATGATCTCTCCTTCATCCCTCACTCAGACTTGCCTTCCTTAAAGTTTTTAAGCTGAGTAGGTATCATATCTGCATATCTGCTTCTAGCTTGTCTGTGTGATATGTGAAAATTAGTCTATGGGCTCAGGCAGATGGAACCGCAGTTCATGAGCACTGTGTGGTTTTAAGGGAAAGAAATCAGACTGGGGCAACGGGGAGGAGGAGTCCTAGGTTTTAGTGTCAACTCTTCCATTAAACCATGTAATTTAGAACATGTTCTTTAACCTCCGAAGTCTTTTTTTCTCCCCCCATAAGTAAAATATTTCTTAAGAGCTTTAAATTATTTTAAATTCCTGCCTGTTTCATCAAATTAATATTGAAGACTCCAACACCTCCTGGTTATTTTAGAGGTATAATTAATTGTCTTCTAAATTTATTTTACTGATTTCCAGAATTGTATAACCATTGTTTTTTTTTTCTCCAGCCATTTCATGCTATTTTCCTAGGCATCTGATTTGACGTTTGAAGTATTGTGTGGTTTCGATTAACAGGAGGATCGACTTTTTGTGGCATTGCGTCACTGTGTCTGATGGGTAAACTAGAAGAAGTTTTTTCAGAAAAAGAATTGAACCGGATAAAGAGGTGGTGTATAATGAGGCAACAAAATGGTTACCATGGAAGACCTAATAAGCCCGTAGACACCTGTTACTCTTTTTGGGTAGGAGCAACTCTCAAGGTAAGAGAAAGAGTAAAATTGAGAAACCTGTACTCTGTGTTGATACAAACTGTGCTTTAAAAGTTTTGGTCTTTGTAATGGTCACTAAATACCATTCAATTTAGGCTGCCCTCGGAGTTTTTTCTGTTGCTCTGGCAAAGCTAATCTCTGTATGGTTTTTCCATAGAATTCAGGTATCTGTTGGGCTGCTTGAAAATTGCCATTCTTATAAAACTTAAGTGGCCTGGAACATAGATGAGGAAAGATAAGGTATAAGGTATAAAGGTTGTAAAAATCTTGTTACCAAAACTGACTGACCGGTAGTCTATCTAGAGCAGGGATCTGTCTGAACATGATAGCCATAAAGGCTTTATGGGAAGTTACTAATCTTAAAAGATAAACCATGGGTCATTCCCTTGAAAACAGTTTGTGGTTTTTAATTTTTTATTGATTTATTTGCCTAACCCTTCTGAATAACTTACTGATTGACACTTATGCACATTTCTCTCCATTTCTTACCTTTTGACATGCCTAATTTCATAAGCTTATTAACCACTAAATACCGTCAAGTTTGCTCTGTCTTAAAATTGCCTTTCCCCTTTAAAATGTTTCACCTAATTCTAATATTCTGAAATCTAACAAAAGTCCGTGTTCATCTTTTATATAATATCCTAATTTTTTCTCTTGAATTCTGAAATGCTGAAAACAGAATGATTAAAATGAAGGCAGTATATCTCCCTCTCTCTCCTCCTAGTGCCATTCCTCGGGTGTACCACTTTAATATTTTTTTAATTATGGAAAATTCCAAACATTCTGCATAAAGTAGAATAGCGTAATGAACCCCTGTAAGTCCACAGCTGGACTCATCAGCGTTTATCCCAAAGCCAGCCCTAGTCTTATCCATATTCCAACCCCTTGCCCTTCCCCTCACTGTATTATGTTAGGGCGGATCCCATATACCATTTTTTATATTATCTGGAAATTCTTCAGTATAGTTCCTAACCAGAAATAACTTTCTAAGTAACAGAACTGTAGTGTTATTGTCAGATCTGGAAAAATCAGCCATAATTCCTTGATACCTTTAGGTATCTAGTCATTGATTATGTATATTTCCTTTTGCATCACATCAAGAAGCACATAATCTTTGGTTATCTCCTTTTGATCAAAGGGCTCCAGGGCCGTCAAACCGGATTTATCCACTATAAGGTCCCCTATCAGCTTTTTATTTTATGATGGCAAAATATACATAATGTAATATTTATTAGTTTAACTATTTGTAAGTATATAATACAGTGGTATTAATTACATTCACAATGTTATGTAACCCTCACCAGTATGTATACCCAAAACTTTCATTATCCTCAGTATATACTCTGTACTCATTACCATTCTCCTCTCCCTCTGGCCCTTGGTCATCACTCTTCTTTCTGTCTTTATGAATTTGCCTATTCTTGGTACATCATATAAGTGGAATCACACAATATGTGTCCTTCTGTGTCTGGCTTATTTTGCTTAGCATAATGCTTTCAAGGTCCATCCATGTTGTAGCATATATCAAAATTTCATTCCTTTTTATGGCTGAGTAGTATGCTATTGTATGTTTATACCACATTTTGTTTACCCATTTATCCGCTGATGGACACTTGGGTATTTCCATGTTTTAGCTGTTGTGAATAAGGCAACTCAACATAGATGTACAAATAACTGAGTTTATGTTTTCATTTCTTTTGTATATTTACCTAGGAGTGGAATTGCTGGATCATATGGTAGTTCTCTGTTGAACTTTGTGAGGTACCGCCATGCTTTCCACAATGAGAGTGTGCACCATTTCCATTCCTGCTAGCAGCGTACCAGGGTTCCAGTTTCCCTATACCCTCAATAACACTTGATTTTTCTGTTTGGTTTTGGTTTTTATAATAGCCATCCCAGTGGGTGTGAAGTGCTGTCTCATTGTGGTTTTGATTGCATTTTCCTAATGATTAATGATATTAAGCATCTTCTGATGTGCTTATTGGCCATTTCTGTATCTTCTTGGGAGAAGTGTCAATTCAGGCCCTTCACCCATTCTTTAATCATGTTTTTTGTTCTTCAAGTGTTTGGGATAATCCCTTATCAAGATATACGGTATGCAGATAATTTTTTCCCATTCTATGGTTGCCTTTCACTCTGTTGGTAATGTCCTTTGATGTACAAAAGTTTTTAATTGTGATCAAGTCCAGTTTATCTGTTTTTCATGAAATCATTGCCAAAGCCAATGTCATAAGGATTTTCCCCGGTATTTTCTTCCAACAATTTTTGTAGTTTTAGCCCTTGAGTTTAGGTCTTTGATTCATTTTGAGTTAATTTTTATATATGGTATAAACTTAAGGGTTCAACTTCATTATTTTGCATGTGGATATCCTGCTTTCCCAGGTTCGTTTGTTGAAAAACTGTTTTTTGCTCCATTAAATGGCCTTGGCCCCTTGTGGAAAATCAACCTAACACATACATGTGGGTTTGTTTGTTTTTTTTATGGGCTCTCTATTCTGTTCCATTACTGTTCCGTGTGTCTGTCCCTATGCCAGTACCATACTGTTTTAATTTCGTCATTGTTGGGGCTGTTCGGGCCCTTTGCAGTTTCATAGGAATTTGAGAATTGGTTTTTCCATTTTTTACAAAAAAGGCTATTGCATGAATCTGAAGATCACTTTGGGTAGTATTGACTTTTAATAGCTTAAGTTCTCCTACAGTGAGCATGGGATGTCTTTCCATTTATTTAGATCTTTAATTTCTTTCAGCAGTATTTTGTAGTTTTCAGCATACAAGTCTCTCACGTCCTTGATCAGATTTATTCCTAAATATTTAATTCTTTTATACGCTGTTTTAAATGGAATTGCTTTCTAATTTCTTTTTGGATTGTTTGTTGCTGTTGTATAAAAACCTCACTGGTTGTTTTTTTTTTTTTTACAGGATCGTTTTAGCAGCCATTGAGGTTAACATATGTTTTAATCCATTATATTGTTCTTTTTGATGCTCAAAATATCCCATTTTTAGCCCAAGACCCTTCACGTAGGCTCTTGAGTCTTTTCGATATGACCTTAGTAGTCTTTGACAATTTTCTGAAAGCAACCATTTTTAAACATTTTAAAAATTCTTAATTCTTACGGATATCACAAGTTTAACTGATTTTTTTTATTTTTAGAAATATTTTCTGTTTTTTTTTTTTTAAGTAAGTTCTCCACCCACCGTTGGGCATGAACTCACGATCCTGAGATCAAGAGTCACATGTTCTACTGACTGAGCCCGCCAGGCACCCCAACTTTAGATGATATCTTAATTTCTCTTTAGACATTATCTTTGATTCCCAACTATGAAGAATGAAGATTTAGCCTCCCTTTTTTCAAGCAGATTATTAGTGGTTATATATTTTTTAGTCCCGAAACTTTTCCTCTTGCACCTTCTAACTCTGTCATATTACCTTTACTTTTATAATGTCGAGTTAAGTAACATTCATATTTTATTTAGTAACAATATTCACATATTTTATGCTTTGCCTGTAGGTTGATTCTAAAATTTAAAAACCGAGAATTTTTTTAATTAAAAAAATTAAATTTTAAATCTAAAATTTAAAAACTTACTATGATCATGTAAATATTGTTTATTGCTGAACCAAGTACGTCTTAAGATTATAGTTTCTCCTTATGTAATGACCCATCGGCCACTTGATGGAAAATGTTTCTAGCTGATGGATTCTAAAGAGTCTCTCCTTTTTGTTGTATTGACTAAATTAAAATGAACGAATGTGTTTCTTATTTGTATCATAATTCTTTTAGGCTTTGTTTCTCTTTTTGAGAAATAATGGTTCTTTAATCACTCATATCTTCTGTGGCTCTTTGATTCATTAACATACTTTCAACTGCTTTGTGTCTTAACAGAAATTTTTTGAACTCTCTTGTCTACTGCTCCACCCTCCCCAACACCCTCTTTCATAGTTTGAGTTATTCTTTATTTTTTCTATTTAACGGGATCTTGAGAGGGAGAGAATAAACATATGTCCTAAATCTTAAAGCTACATAGTTTTTTATGCTAAAAGTATACTTGTCTCACCTTTTACCTTTCCTGATTAAAAAGCTACAATTTTTTTACTAGTCTCAAAACTGTCATCTGGTTAATAATTTTTGCTCTGTTTTGAAATATTTTTGGTTCAAGTTACTAACGGTTTGTAAGTAACAGTTCAAAAGCCTATAATAAGAATTAGAATATGGGTAGCTAAAATTGTCCTTTTTTAAAATGACTAAGTTGAACAGATTGGCAGAGGTGTGTTTTGAACCTAGCTAAATGTGATGCAAAGAGATTAGTTGGGCGTGGTTCAGAAGAGGGAAGTAGCGAGTAGGTCAAGGAAAGGAGAGTAGTTGTGATCAGATGACAAAAATTATAATAATGTGGTTGACTGATTCTAAGTGCTCAGGTCTCCAGAGGCTTGCTTTGAGAGCCTTAGCTACAGAAAAGCATATTTAATTGATGTATATCTGAAAATTGAGCCAAAGGTCAATATGAAAGTTTGATGTCAGTAAATTTATATTTGTCCTGTCATTTCAGCTTCTGAAAATTTTTCAATACACCAACTTTGAGAAAAATAGAAATTACATCTTATCAACTCAAGATCGCCTAGTAGGGGGATTTGCCAAGTGGCCAGATAGTCATCCAGGTAATTTATTTTTTGTATGACTCTAGAACAACTTTCTTTCTTTTTTTTTTTTTTTTAAAGATTTTATTTATTTATTTAAGAGAGAGAGAATGAGAGACAGAGCACAAGAGGGAAGAGGGTCAGAGGGAGAAGCAGACTCCCCGCCGAGCAGGGAGCCCGATATGGGACTCGATCCCGGGACTCCAGGATCATGACCCGAGCCGAAGGCAGTCGCTTAACCAACTGAGCCACCCAGGCGCCCAAGAACAACTTTATTTCTTGAGTAGACCCTCAGGCATCTTTGTCAGAAAGGGCATAAGAGAAAATTCAGCTACAGTTGTAAACTTAAATAATATGTTTTTTAAAAAGGTAAATTGTTTAAGTTTAGGGGAAATTTAGCATGTTGAGGGGTGTAAAGGAAGGGTTGGATTATCAAGACGTATTGCTATAGTATGCCTTGTTTTTCATGTATGTCACTTACCAGTGTTTTATTTCATTTGAGGCAGTGAGGCAGATGGTCTCAATGGGCCCTGTCCAAAATAGAGAATCACTTGGTCCTTCCAGAACCTTTAGGATTATTAGCTGTCACTAGAGCTAAGTAGCATGAATCACCAAGTCCAGAAGGGAACCTGTTCTTACTCTGTTCAGAAGCCATTACATCACATATCTCTAATTCTGGAGGTAGCTGTCCCTCACTGTCCACACCCTTGTTCTCTGAATTTCAGCAGATTCAGGGTAATTTTTTTAGATGGGTACTTGGCTATCTGAACTCTTACCATTCACTGTCTAAAACTCAGGAGCCAAATAGATTCAGACAGTGTGATATTCATTGTTTTCCAAACTCAGGAGTGGCAGAGAAGAACAAAAGATTCTTGGATTTAATAAGTACAGTCGATCCTTGAACCACACAGGTTTGAACTGTGCCTGTCCACTTATAAATGGATTTTTTCGACAAATATTATATTGTACCATAAATGTATTTTCTCCTCTTTAATGCTTTTAATTTCTAAAGCCAAAGAATATTTTTTCTAGTTTTATTGAGAAATCATTGACCTGCATCACTGTGTAAGTTGAAGGCATACAGCGTGATGGTTTGGTGCACATCTCTAGTGAAATGACTGCCAGAGTAGGCTCAGCTAGCGCCCACCTTCTCATAGAGATGCAGAAGAAAAGATAGTAAAGGGCAGGCAGTTTACGTTTGTGATGAGCGGTCTTCGGGTTAACTGCCCTGCGCATTTCCTGTGTGTCGCATAGCAGTGAGCTGTAGTCCTCGTGTTGTGTACTCTGCCCCAGTACTTACTTATTAGTGGCAGTGTGTCCCTCTAGACCCCCTTCTTCCAGTTCCCCTCCCCCCGCCCCCCCAAGCACAGGTCCAATCTCTTTTTTTCTATGAGTTTGTTTTTTTGTTTTTGTTATTTAGATTCCACATATAAGCGAGATCACAGTATTTGTCTTTGCCTGACATTTCACTTAGCATTACACCTTCAAGGTCCATCCATGTTGCAGATAGTAGGATTTCCTCATCTTTGTGGCCGAATCATGTTCTGTTGTGTATACATATACCACAAATTCTTTATCCACTCATCCATCGATGGACATTTAGGTTGTTTCTGTATCTTGGCTGTTGTACATAATTCTGTGAACGTGGAGGTGTAGAAACCGAGTTAGTGTTTTCATTTCCTGTGGGGATATTACTGGATCGTATGGTAGTTCCATTTTTAATTTTTTGAGGCTTCTCCATACTTCTTTCCGTAAGGGCTGTGCCAATTTACATTCCCACCAGCCGTGTACAAGGGTTCCCTTTTCCACTTATACGCCAGCATTTGTTATCGCTTATTCTTCTGATGGCCATTCTAGCAAGAGTGACATAGTATCTCACTATGGCTTTAATTTGCATTTCCCTCATGGTTATTGATGTCAAGCATCTTTTCATGTACTGGTTGGCCTTTTGTATGTCTTCTTTGGAGAAAGAGCTATTCAGATCCTTTGCCCCTTTTTCAGTTGGGTTACTTGTTGTTGTAGGGTTTTTTTTTTTCTGTTGAGTTGTAGGAGTTCTTTCTGGGATTTTTTTTTATGTTCTAATTTCTAAAGCAAAATAATATTTTTAGATTTTGGTATGTGTAACCATAGCTATAAATATGTTAGAGCAGTACCTCAAGAAAACTGAGAATTGTCTTAATGACATTATTTTTCATCAGAGCTTGTACTATTTTAACAAATATACATTTTAACAAATGGGAATAGGGAAATGACAATATCTTGGAAAGCATGTCTGGCGTAAACATAACTTGAAATACATTTGGAGTATTTACAGTAGATTTTTTTTTAAGATTTATTTATTTGCCTTAGTGAGCAAGCGTGAATGGGGGGAGGGCAGAGGGAGAGAATCTTCAAGCAGACTCCCTGCAAAGTGTGGAGCTCACCAGGGGCTTGATCTCACAACCCCTGAGACTATGATCTGAGCCAAAATCAAGAGTCAGATGCTTAACCAACTGAGCCACCCAGGCGCCCCAGAATAGATTTTTTTTTTTTTTTAATTCTTGAAGGTTTTTTCTAGCACTTAGTTGTTAACTTTAATATTTGTGTAAATACTTGGATGTAATACTTTTTACAGATATGGTAAAATGTCTTCAGAACCTGTAAACTGCAGAGCATAGAAAATCTGTGTATCATAAATTGAATTTATGTGGAAAGACCTGTTTCGTAGGGCCTTTGGGAAAATCATTTTTTAAGAGTCTTTAAAATTAGCATGTTCTTAGTTCTAGTTAATTTAGTAGCAGATTTGACACAGAGCAATTTTATACACATTTACAGAAGAAACTTATGAAACTAATGAACTTTTATTATGAAGAAACTGTATATTTCAGCATTTGATATGCTTGAATATACCTACAGATAAGTTTTTTAAAAAAAGCTTTGAGGGCGCCTGGGTGGCTCAGTCGTTAAGCATCTGCCCTCGGCTCAGGTCATGATCCCAGAGTCCTGGGATCGAGTCCCACATCGGGCTCCCTGCTCAGCAGGAAGCCTGCTTCTCCCTCTCCCACTCCCCCTGCTTGTGTTCCCTCTCTCACTATGTCTCTCTCTGTCAAATAAATAAATGAATCTTTAAAAGATAAATTAATGAATGAGGCTTTGAGGTTTGAAACAATTAAGTTCTGGTTCATTGGCTTTTACAAAAAGCTTTTTGAGAAAAAAATGTTTTATTTTTACATTACGTGGAAAGTAGAAGATCCTATTTTATGTTATCCTGGATGGATTTTATTTCTCTTTCATTTGCATTTTTTCCTAGAAAAGTTTCCTCATTTCTAGTCAATAAAATACGATGTTGCTTTGTGCCTTCTGTAATTTTAGAATAACTAAAAGGAAAATTTCATAGTACAGGGGAAATCAAATTTATTTTTTGTGGTCTGAAAATGAGAGAAAAGTGAGCCAGAAGAAACCTAAGCATTCTCTTGAGAAGACATGAAAGGAGATTGACATGGGCCTCCACTAGTGAGATAACATTTTGAGAAATAATCTTGAGTAAGCACAATTATCTGTCCCTCCGTTTTGAAAAGTAGATGATACTCATGTAAGTAAAACTTTCTAATACTTCTGACAAAGTTTGAGTCGGTAAGGTGTTCTGAACTTCAGTAGCTCTTGAGGCCATAAATGATGGCCAGTACAAAAATAGGAAAAATGCCTGATGGCTACAAAATCTGTTTTTTTGTAGTTTGCCCATAACTGCAGAGCTCTGAGCTCTTCAGAGTCCGTATAAGGCTGTCCAGCAGGCAACAGCCATGTGATTCCTGTGGCCACTTGAATGGAAGAGGGTCGCTGCCCCCAGAAGACGGGAAATATTAGTGAGGCCAATATAGAAGAAAGGTTATGTTATTTATAACCACAGAGAATGTGAGTTTGTTTTTACTGTCAGGTCAGACATTTTTTGGATGATTGACATTCCCCTAAATAGGAAAACTAAATTTGGTACAGCATTCCACAGCGGATTATTCTGTTCAGGCATCTTTCACTGAACACAGTACTGAGGTAGTATTGGTTACGGAAATGTCAGAGGTAAAAACTTAGTGGGGAGGGGTATTGCTACTTAGAGGTTTATTTTCGTTTTTCAGGAAAATTTTTCCTTTTATGATACAGAGCTAAAGCCTCTTATTTCTGTATTCTGTAGGAAGCAAAGGGGAAACCCCCTAAGTGAGAGGTCTTATATTACTGCTACTCTACTTTGTTTTTTTAATCACAGAGGATGTTGGGAGTGTCACCTTTTCATTTGATAACTGTTTTCCTTTGTTAATGATATTTTTTCGATAAAATATCTGATTTTGATCATCAGGTTTTTTTTTAATTGGTGTTTTGACAAAGACTTTGAGAAAGCACATGTTTCAAAACCTGTATTTAACATTTTTCTAAATTTAATTTTAATGTGCTGGACTAATAGATATGTAGCTATAGTACTTTGCAGCATGTACAAACAAGAATGCCTGTCATGATAAAAAAAAAAAAAAATACCTTGTTTTCAGATGCTTTGCATGCATACTTTGGGATCTGTGGCCTGTCACTAATGGAGGAAAGTGGAATTTGTAAAGTTCATCCTGCCCTGAATGTAAGCACACGGACTTCTGAACGCCTTCGAGATCTCCATCAGAGCTGGAAAACCAAGGACTCTAAACAGTGCCCAGAGAATGTGCACATCTCCACATGACTGACTTCACTTAGGTTGGGAGGGTGGGGGGATTTGTAGCATAACTGTAGCTCAAGGTTAAAAGCCATGTATAACCAATGTGCTCTTTTTTAAGAGGTAGTCTCACAATCAAATCTCGTGCTGATGTCACTTTGGAATATGGTCTTGAGCCAGTAACCTTTGTACTGGGTTTCAAGAAAATCTTTGTTGAAGTCTGAACCACAGTGGACTCTGTTGTGGTTCTTAAATGTTTATACTGTATTTCTAAGAAGTTCTTTGAGGCAAATTAACTATATGTATGTAGGTTATATTTTTAAAAAACTCTGCAAATTGTATCATACTGTAAAATGGACACAAATCTTCAAAACAAGTTTACAGTTCACATAGCATTGATAATCCTTGGGTGAACACTTAGTGATCATTTAAAAAGCTTGATAGCTGATGGTAGGAAATTGCTTTAATGAATTAAGTATTTAGGATTCTTCTTTGAAAACAGATGATTCCATAATTTTTAAAAAGAATGACTTACTTTATCTTATTAAGTGTGCCAGTTAAACTTATGAGGCCTACATGAATGAAATTAACTTCATAGCAAGGATGAATAGGCTTAACTAATACAGTAATTTTCTAAAGGGACATAGATTTGAGAAGACTATTATGTAATTGAGGGAAAAATAATTTAACTGTATGTGATTGTGAATGAGACAGTTTTGTGCTGCGTGGGTCACTTATTTAGATGTTGTGAGGGTGAATAACAGTTGTGTTTGATTTTAATTTCATTAGTTGCTTTTTCTTTCTGGGGAGAAAATAGTCATCTAGAAGGAAAGACGAATGCTTTGGTTTATTTTTCGGAAATATGTGATACTGTAAATTGTACTTTTATAAGGGAGTTATTTTTAGCTATTGGGTTTTTTTTTAGTTTGTTGCCTCCAGTGTGTTAGTGGTTCTGATTTCAAAATGACAATTTTCTAATTTTTTCGAAGCAAATAAGTAAAACTCAGTAAAAAACCAGAACCACTGAAGTAAATTTAATGGTGCAGCTCCATACATGGTCATTTATATTTTTATATTTTCAGGTAAGTGGAAGGGAAATGTTCTGTTTAGTTGTTAAAGACTGGGGTGTCGCTTTTGTTCTTCTTGTTTTGTTCATTCTATGAACCAGCTAATTGTAAAGGAAATAGTGTAAAAACTCATCTTCATTAGTAACCAATTTATCAATAAATCACATCCATCACTATTGTTGGAATGATGTTCAAAGATGTGAGACAAGTACTGAAATGGAGAAGAAAATCTCTTCACTGAAGGAGATAGGTTAAAGTTAAAGTCTTGGTGATAATAAATGTTGAATTATTCTACACCTATCAGTATAAAAAATTACTAGTATTACTGTTTAGGAATTATGTTTAAATTTTAATTTCTTTCCTAAATTTGAGGAGAAAATACCCTTAAATAATGGTCCTTCCAAAGGGAAATCTGTGTATGTGCTTAGAGAAATGATTCATTTGTTGTTGGCATCCTTAGTTTTAAAACTCCTCTTGCCCAAGTCAACTTTATTATTTTTTTTAATTAGAAATAAAATCCGTTTTCTGATTGTGGGGGAAAATATAAGCTTAAAAGCAGATGTTATCTTTCAACGACTTATTTTAGTTGCTTCTATTTAAATCCTGGCAAATTAAGACATCCCTATCTCAAACTAAGTCACTTCCTAGACATCGGGAGTTAAAATAGCATATATGAAATGGCTTTAGAGCTATTATAAAAAACCCAGATTGTTTTTCCTGAACTGCCACTAGCAGTTAGAAGGTAAGAAAGTTAGTAATAATAGTAACCGTATCCGTAAGTGGAAGAGAACTCCAAAAGTATTTCATAAAACTATTAAGAAATATTTCCTAACTCCTTGTATAATTTAATGGCATAAGATTATAAATTACAATATGATTCTAAACAGTACACATGTGAGGGCCCTTTTTATGAAATCTTGTGGCCCAGTGAGTGTTCACCTTCCATCGTGATGTGCTGACCAAAACACACAGGCCAGGGACCTGAAGAGAGACGACTCTTGTTTCTAAACAGTTATTTACAAGAGCAGTATTTATTAAATAAACTAAATTATAAGTAATATTTCACATACTTATTCTTTGGCAGTGGTATTATAATGAGCAGGGAAGTAGGAAGTCCAAAATCTCAAATAACTCTGTGTTCTGCCCCTACCCTCACTATGGTATTTTTCAGAAGTAAGTAGGAAAAGCTTTTTTTTTTTTATCATCTGCCTGAAAACAAGATTAATCAGGTCATACAACACAGTTCAGTGTATTCATCATCTACAGTGTTTTTAGATTTGACCTGTAATATGTATACATTTTTATCAGATCTTTAAATAGTTAATATTTCATTTCAGTTCACATAGAGGTTTTGCTTACAGTGGTCCAGAGTTTGGAAACGGTCGGACCTGCTAGTATTTGAGAGTCTGTTAAGTAAGGAGGTGCTCTGGAGTCTGATGACTTGCGTTTAAATCCCAGGTCTGCAAGTTCAGCACTGTAATCTTGGACTCTAACTTCCCCATCCATAAAATCAGGGAGGGGAGGGCTAACTCCTGAGGTTATTCAAGGATGAAATGAGATAATGCATATAAAGCATTTGACATAGTACCTGAAATACAGTAAATTCCTAATTATAATTTCTGTCCTAACCATCATAAAATGATTGTTATTAAAATCTCTCTTCCGTAATAGAGACCCCACAGGGGTTAAGCTCGGGGACGATGATGGCAATAGTGTACTTTCTGAACCTTCCAGAAAGAATACAGAGTAACCAGGGTAGCCCCAGACCCTGTTTCTACAAAACTAGATGACCGTTGTCCTCATGAACTTCAAAGTGCAAGTAAGGAAGGACAGACCACTGGCTGACATAGTTTCAGCATCTGTGGGGACGGGGAGAGCAGGCAGCTGTGTTTCTGACAGCCCCCCATTTCTCAGCTGACTGGCAGGGGGCCAGTCAACAGAAGCTGGAACTGTGCAGGCTTTGACAGGTTCCATTTGCAGGGGAGCATCACAGGAGTGTACCAAGGTCTGACGAGTGTGCTAACGTAGTCTGGACCCAGTGCTGTATGTGTCTCAGAGCTGATGAGACGGAGCCTAGCACTGAGGAGAAACTGCTAGAATTAGGATTCCAGCTTGACAGGTATGGTAGGGCAAAGAGAAGAGAAAGTCCAGGTAGATGCTGGGAAGGAAGGTCAACAGTGATGTCCTGTCAACCACTGTCAAAATGAAAATGGAGCTTTAGGGCAGTGGAGCTAAGAAAAGTCCTCGTAGAACACGTCCCTCCTAAAAAAGTACAGGAAAACTCTCTTCCAAAGAAAAAAACAAAACTGTGAGAAGGATTACAATCAAATCTCACTGAGAAGTTAGAAGAATTAAAAGAAGCAAGCCAGCATCCCCAAAGATCGTGAGAGCACAGCAGAAAGATACTACCACAAGACTGATGAAAGCCTCAGTATTTTTTTAAAAGACAGTTATGACAGGAAATTTATAGTATTTAGAACTGTATCATTAAAAATGGGAGAAGCTGAAAATTATACAACCAAGCCTTAAAAACTGGAGGAAAAAAGCAAACCAGAAGAAAACAGAAGGAAGGAATTCGTAAAAAGGGAGAGAGGGAGGGAACTTAAATACACAAACCACCAGTGAACCCCTTCCAAGGAAAAAGGGAGGACGCAGAAATACACATTGAAACGACAACGGGAGAAATAACTACAAAACAGGAAATTTTTCAAAATTCTAAGACTTACATAATTAGAAAAATAGTTCAGAAATATGCAGATTGCCAGGATTTACCCTCATAGACATAGAAATTTAGAACAAACCAATTACCATAGAAGAAACTAATAAAGGACTTCTTACACAAAAAAGTGTCAGGCCTTGATGATTTCAAGGGATTTCTGCTAAACCTTTAAATAATCCCAATGTTGTTGATACAATTCCAGAAGCTAGAAAAAGAATCCTGAACATCAAAGTGCCAAAAAAAATTTTTTTTAAGACTTCTGAATTGATTTTATAAAGTGAATACATTAGCGTTTCCAAAACTGGACAAAAGAGCGTACCAAAGAGAAAATTATAGACCACTCACAAATATCAATGCAAAAACCTTAACAGTGTATTAGCGAACACTCCAACAGCACTTTAAAAAGGTAATAAATCGTGACAAAGTTGGGTTTATTATAAGAATGCAAGGATAATTCAATAGTTGACAATCCATCATATTAAAAGAGTTAAGGAGAAACTCATTCCATTTTTCAGAAAAGACATTTGATGGAATTGAGCATTCAGTTCATGCTGAATGTACTCGGAAAACAGAGACTGATGAGTAATTCATTCACCTTGTACCTCTGCCCAAACGCCAGCATCTTAATGTCAAAACAAAAGAGGCTTTCCACAAAGTGAAACAAGACATGCCTCTATCCCTCTCCACCACTTAACGTTGTGTTGGTTTTAGCCAATGCAGTTTGACAAAACAAAGCCATGTGCATTTCATGGACAGGGGGAGGTTATTTGCAGATATGCATTTATATCTGGAAAACCCAAAGAAATTTGTTGAAAAACTGTAGGGATTTACTAAAGTAGCAATTACAAATATACATTCAAATATCATACTTGGATATAAGTATCAGCACTCACCAGACATAAAAGAGTGTACATAACTGATTCCATTTAAATGAAGTTCAAAACAGGCAAACTTTATAGGTGTCAAAAATCAGCATCCCATTTCAGTCACTACCCCCTCCACAAAGGTAAGCACTATCATGACTAAATCACCATTGGTTTTGTCTGTTTTTAAACTTTATATAAGTGGAATCATATACAGTATTTTTCATCTGGCTTCTTTAGCTCAACAAGCCCGGGAAGAGTACAAGGCAGCTTCTATGGTGCTGGTTACATAGGTGCATTCATTTTATGACTACTTATCAAGCTGTATACTTAACGATTTGTGCACTTTCCTGTATGTATAATTACAAGTCAATAAAAATGTTTACTAAAAAGGATAAAAGACTTTATATAAATATACAAACCTAGGTAGAAGGTGCCGTTGAAGAGAAGACCCCTTTTGTGATTACAAAAAGAAACTTATGTGTAAACCTTTTTTAAAGTTTATTTTCAATCTCTACACCCAATGTGGGGCTCAAACTCGCGAACCCAAGGTCAGTAGTCACACGTTCTCCCGACTGAGCCAGCCAGGTGCCCCTATGAGGAAAACTAAAAAATACACTTTTGATCGAAAATTAGACTTTAACAATTTAAAAAGATGTATCCTATTCTTAAGAAGACTCAACATTAAAACATGTTTTTCTCCCAATAAAAATGATCATGTTTGCTTCTGTTTGAGAGAACATCCTAGAAAAGCTATGGAAACTGAAAAAAAAGAGAGGGACTAGCCCTACCAGACATTAAAACACACTCTTATTAAGTACTCCATAATTGAAAGTTTGGTATTGGCACATGAATTAGGCAGGACTGTGGAGAAATTCCAGGAATAGACCCAATGGTAGTCATATTGTAAAGGCAGCGTCTCAACTCAGTGAGAAGAACTTTTTTTCTTTTTATTTTTTTAAAGATTTTATTTTTAAGTAATCTCTACACCCAACGTGGGGCTCAAACTCAACCCCAAGATCAAGAGTTGCACGCTCTACCCACTAAGCCAGCCGGGCACCCCAAGAAGATAAACTTTTAAAATAAATCGTATGGGAATGACCAGTGATTGATTAGTTGGATATCTACATATATTGTTAAAGAATTTATAGCTTCTTTAATTTCTAACGCTTTTTTTCTTTGTTACAATGAACATTCTTTTAATTTAAAAAATACGAAAAACAGTGATAGTCCTCACCCCACCCCACCCCCATCCTATAATTCCTGAAGTTAATAATCACCACTGTTATATAAATCCTCAATCGTTTCATCTCTCTCCATACACATGTATGTTTATGTATCTATATTTAAGC